TTTTTTTGACAGGCAGAGTGGACAGTGAGAGAGAGAGACAGAGAGAAAGGTCTTCCTTTGCCGTTGGTTCACCCTCCAATGGCCGCCGCGGCCGGCGCGCTGCGGCCGGCGCACCGCGCTGATCCGATGGCAGGAGCCAGGAGCCAGGTGCTTTTCCTGGTCTCCCATGGGGTGCAGGGCCCAAGCACCTGGGCCATCCTCCACTGCACTCCCTGGCCACAGCAGAGAGCTGGCCTGGAAGAGGGGCAACCGGGACAGAATCTGGCGCCCCAACTGGGACTAGAACCCGGTGTGCTGGCGCCGCTAGGCGGAGGATTAGCCTAGTGAGCCGCGGCGCCGGCATGCTCTGTTATTATTAGCATTTTGAATGTCATTAATAAGGTTGTGGAACTGTGTTTCTTAGAAAAGTACCTACATAACATCTTTGATTTTTCATTTTGGCACGCAAATTCTAAAATATTGACTATTTGATGCTTTACAGATAGGATTACTAATCCCTAGCTTAAAACACAGAATGAGCCAGCCTAGACCTGAGTGAGGCAGCCATCAGCCAACTGATTGTCTTAGTTAATTAGGGCTCCCAGTGAACCAAGTGCTGTGCTAAGGCCCCTCTCATCTGTTAGCTTGCTTAACTGTCACGGCAACTCTGAGGGCTAAATATTTTCATTATTCCCATTTTACAGATAGTGGAAGAAAGGAAGTGAAGTGAAGGGCTTAGGTTAAGGTCCCATTGACTGCTAAATGTCTATTCAGGGGCTGGCACCATGGCGTAGAAGGTTAAGCCCCCGCCTGCAGTGCTGGCATCCCGTATGGGCACTTGTTCGAGGTCTGGCTGCTCCACTTCCAATCTGGCTCCCTGCTGATGTGGTTGGGAAAGCAATGGATGTATTTGTGCCCCGGCTCCCACGTGGGAGACCTGGAAGAAGCTCCTGGTTTCTGGTTTCAGATTGGCCCCGTTGGGGAGTAAGCCAGTGAGTGGATGGAAGATCTCTCTCTGTGTGTCTCGACTCTCTGTAACTCTGTCTCTCAAACAAAAATAAATAAGTCTTTAAAAAAAATGTCAGTTGGGGAACAGATGTTTGGCCTAGGGGTTAAGATACCCATATCCCACATTGAAGTGCCTGAATTTGGTATGAAACTCCACTTCCAACTCCAGCTTGCTGTTATTGCAGGCCCTTGGAGGCACCAAGTGACAGCTCAAGTAGTTGTATCCCTGCCAACTGTGTGAGAGACCTGGATTCCATTCCCAACTCCCATCTTTGGCCCCATTCCAGTCCCCCAGCTGTGGCAGGCATTTGGCTGGTAAACCAGTGGTGGGGAGTTTTCTCTCTCTATCTCTCTCTGTGTGTCTCTCAAACAAGTTGTAAAAGAATTTCTTTGGAATGTCAGATTGTTAAAGCCCATGCTAGAGCTTTGGAAGAGAAAACTCAAACCTGTGGTACTCAGGCTGATGGAAAATACAGCAGACATGGTATACCATTAAGGCATTAGCAGTCCATTGGGAGTCGGAGGAGAGACAGGTGCACAGAATGTTAATGGAAGTGCTTGGCAAGACCTTGGTAGTTAAAAGGAATAACAACGACAACAATAATGAAAGTATTGATAGTTCGCATAAGCATAATATCTGTCATTGTGAGATGTTTGTGATAGTCTAAGCTCTTTCTGAACCCTGCAAAGGTGTGCTAACCCTGCTGCAGCTAGCATAGCTTACAGGTGGGGTTGAGATTTGAACCCAGGCAGGCCAAGCATCTGCTCTTCTCACCACCCACCACGGGAATGGAAAAGTGGGTGCTGTTGAAGGTTCGATTTTCATTTTTCAGCACTAAATCTATTCCAGCATTTTACCTCAAGAAAGAATCCTGTCCTAGTCCTGGGTTGGCCTTGAGCCCATGATTTCACTCTGGTTTTCTATTTCCTCAGGCCTAAAATTGAAAAAATTGGGCTGAGTTGGTGGTGTTCAAGTATCCCCAGGTCCCCAACTCAACTTCAGCCCCGGTGGCTGCACTGTGAACTGTGCAAGTTGCTGGGCTCCAGGTTAAGATTTTGTTGGCAGAATCAGTACTTTGGCTTGCCCAAGCCACTGAAGACCCTTAGAGATCTCAGAGTGTGTGGGCCCAGGGGCAGTGATGGTGGTGGAATAAGGAGGTGGTGAAGCCAGGCCTGCCTCCTGCATTTCCTTCCTACTGTCTACCAGCCCTGCCACCAGTTAGATTGCACCATCTTTTTTTTTTTTTTAATTGTTTATTTTCATCTACTTGAAAAGTAGAAGAATAGACAGAAAAATTGAAAAAGACAGAGTCTTCATCTGCTGGTTCTCTCCCTAAATGCCTTCAACAGCCAGGGCTAGGTCAAGCTGAAGCTAGGAACTTTGAACTTAATCTGGGCCTCCCACATGGGTAGCAGGGGCCCAAGTATGTGAGCCTTCATCTTCTGTGTCCGAGCATGCATTATGAGGAAGCTGAATTGGAAGTGGAGTAGCCAGGTCTCAGTCATAGACACTGAAATATGGGTTGTGGATAGCCCGAGCAGCAGCCTAACCCACTGTACCACAACACCCACCATGATTGCATCTTCTAACCAATAGAAGTCAGAAGCTTTTCTGCTCAGTCAGTGTGGAGCCCTTGATCCTGGGGCAGATTGCTGTGGTGCCCTGTGATGCCAAGTTCACCAACAACAGGAGGGGAAAATGAAGGTGATAGTTTTGCAGTAGTGGATGCCAAGACCTACACACACCCGCTATTGCTTAAGTCTGTGTGCTATTTACACAGCCCTGGAAGTGCAGAGGCAGCAAGCAAAGGTCAAAATATTTCCTCGTCTTGGCCAAGCCTGTCCCAGCCAACACGCTTGTTTGCAGAGATTTCCCCCATCATTAGGCGCTGGGAACCAGGTTTAAATTAAAGCCCATGCTTGCCAGTGGGTGGAAGGGTAACCTTATTATTCCAGCCTTTTGTTCAACAGAAATCACTTTGTAATTTTGATTATGGAAACCGATGATTTGAAGACTTTTGCATTTATTAGTGAGTACTTATTTTTTTCTGGTGGGGGGTAAAATGAATTGGAAACCTCTCCGAGAACTAGCCAACATTTCTGAGTCCTGTGAATAAGTGCTGTTACTCTCCTGTTCTCTCATGACCTTGGGCTTAGTCATGTGACCTCTCTGAGCCTGGTTTCCAAATCTCAAAATTAGATCACTGAAAGTACATACTTCATGGAGTTATGAAATAAGAGAGCAAAGTGATGTGAATCATTCAAAACTCGGCTACCTATAAGTTGGAGCTAATAATAGGACCAACTTTGTGGAGATATTTCAAGTATTAAGTGAACTAATCTTTATAAAGTTCTCAGAACAGGACCTGGCACATATAGCAAGTGCTATTCAAATGTCTGCAATATGTAAATACTCAGAATAGCACCTAGCATATAGTAAAAACTGAATCAAAGTTAGATCATGTTCATGAAGTCTTCCAAAGGAAAATGACAATTTTAATGATTCTAATGTAGTTCATTTCCACTGGGGTTTTTGCATTATCCCCCAGTTACATAGACCTCTTGAGTCTAGGAATACATTTGTCTAATTGCCTTCTCTGGTTGATCTCCGTGGAAGTAGTAGTGGGCTTAGTTTGGAAAGATTATTCCTGTAGACACAGGTGTGTCCATGAAGTAACCTGGTGGCCCAGGGTTTCCCAGGAATATCCTGGAAGGCATGGTGGAAGCCAGAATTAAGGTGGACCACAAATACCTCCAGGTGCCCAGAGATTCTTGTAGAGACTAGAATGTGGATTCTTGAATGAAGCACAGTGATTTGCTTTGCCTGTTGGGAGAACTGAGAGCCAGTGTCCTAATCTGCTCTATTGAAGTACTCCTTTCTGCCTCAGGACATTTGCTTATGTTTTTTTCCTACTGCTAAAATGTTCTTATTCAATGATGTTTGCTCCCATTCTTAAATTTTCACCTTCAGCTCCTTTCTTGGCTTTAAGTCGGAACTGTGCAAGCTTTGGTGTCACCTAAAGTCACATCCAACTTTGCTTCTTGGGATTTGTATGACCTCAGGCAGAATTCACTCATTCCATGTCTTGAGAGAGTTAAATAGGTAACTCATTGGGGGCCGATGCTGTGGTGTGCGGGGGGGACCCCTATGCGGCATCCCATATGGGTGCAGGTTTGAGTCCTGGCTGCTCCACTTCCAGTCTAGCTCTCTGCTCTGGCCCAGGAAAACAGTACAAGGTGGCCCAAGTACTTGGGCCTCTGCACCCTCACGGGAGACCCAGAGGAAGCTCCCGGCTCCTGGCTTTGGATAGGCACAGCTCCGGCCATTGCGGCCAATTGGGGAGTAAACCAGCAGTTGAATAAATTGAGTTATCATTAAGTATCAGGGTTGGGTTCCAGGTTAAATATCACTTCTTCCTGTGTATGGGAAGATACCTCTATTTTGTATACCAAAGTGGGGGGTGGGGGTCTGGTTCTGAGGGCCAGGTTGGTCCTTGCCTAGAATTCACTTTGATGTGCATAGATCTTGGATGAAATCATGATGGAAGGTAGCCAACTGGAATTGATAGTATGTTTTCTTTTCATAGTCATTCTTTCCTTATGTCCCAAGTATGTTTCACTCATTATTAGTTCATAGAGATTAGAAATAAACGAGGGCTATGGTGAAACAAGATAAGAAGGGATGAGTTAAAATAAAGCTGAACTCATTTCTTCTTTGCAGGACTGCTCAGAGACTTGACTGGATGTGAAGTGTTTTGTCTGTTTCTGGAAGAAGGGGGAGGGACTTTAACGCTTTAATGCCCATGGAAACTGCATGTGATGAAATACAGCGCGGTGCCGCTGAACACACCCTGGGATATGTTGTATTTTCTGAGGCTCTCACACCACCAAATGCTAGTGCTTTTCAGTGTATAAACAAACAGAAGGCTTGCGAGGTGACACCAGCATGCTGACAGTGTCAGCCGTGTCTGGGACAGGCTACAGCTTACCACTGTGTTTTTATTTCCAAACAGAGAAAGAGACCTTCCTGGATCCCTTCGTCCTCCGGGACCTCCTGCCTGCATCCTTGGGCAGCTACTACCGGTACACAGGTTCTTTGACCACGCCCCCATGTAGTGAAATTGTGGAATGGATTGTCTTCCGGAAGCCTGTCCCCATCTCTTACCATCAGGTAGCTATTCTGCCCCAAATGGGGTTTCTGTGTTTCCTTGTTTTGTGTTGACTCAACTACCTAGGGCCACTAGAATACACCAACAAGGGATTTTCCTTTGATTCTCTGCTCTTCCATTCTTTCTTCTTCCCAAAAAATATGTTTGTGAACCCAAGAAATTGTAAAATATTAAAACTTGGTTTCTCCACTGCACATCAGCTAACTAGCAGAGAACTACAAGTGTGACTTTAGGGTAATTGAAGGATTCAGTGTTGAGAAGATAGAATGCGCTCCTCTGGGGCACTGATTCTCCAGGCACTCTTCCAAGCTGTTTGTCTTCAGCCATTTGATCTGTGTGAACAGCACTCTGGTAAGGTAGGTACTACTTGCGACATTATTTTATACAGTAGACCTAGAGACACAGAAGATAGGTAGCTAGTGCAAGATCACACAGATGGTAACTCAGCCATTTTAGCTGTTCCCAGGGGTCACATTCTTTTGGACACTAAGCCAGCCACAATTCAGGTAAGAGGTTGGTGTACACAAAGCAGTGAAATCAGACTTGCCATTGGTTGAGCTCTTTCTGTATACCAAGCATTCACTAAGCACTTTACAGATATCAACTTAATCACTAGCAAAACAATGTTGAAAAATGGGTATAGCACTAACAAAGTATACATAGGACATCACGTCATAGAGAGATGGGCTAACATGCATAATGATTCATGGTTAATGAATGTGCTGAAGCCAGAAACCCATGTTTCTGACTACTGCACTGTATCGCTTCTATCTTAGTATGACCTGAACAAATTTCATGGGAAGGCAGAATTTAGGCCAAGCAGTTAGCTGAGTGTGGGAATTGATGAAATAGGAATATGGTTGGGATTAACGTCAGAAGAAGGGAAAAAAAAACCATGGGAGTGAAAGCCTTTGAATTATCTCATGAGGATTAATGAATAGAAGGGGAGAATTCTTAGAAGGCACATACTAGTTGTCACTAGGATAGTATGTACTGAGATAGGAAAAGAGTAATATCTCTCATGCATAATTCCCTGAAGTGGAGCCAGAAGCAAAATGTAGGATGTTCATCTGAGAGGATTTGAGCTGTTAACGAGGACTATCTGAAAAATGGAGTGTTTTTTATCAGGGTCTTTCTAGACATGACCCTCCTCCTCACAGCTGGACAGCGAGGGCTCACGACGTTCCACTGGCAAGAGTGAAAGTCTGGAATGCTGTGATCGCATCAGTAGTGTTACTGAAGCCCCAAGCAGCAAGACTCTGGCCTTAGCTGCTGTGTGTGTGTGTGTGTGTGTGTGTGTGTGTGTGGCGGGGGTGGGGGGTTGTCCAAAGACTTCCCTAACAGAGACAGAGCTTCAGAATAGGGGTCTAGGGTAGAGTTGGATCCCTGATCAAGCCTCTGTAGGGATTGTATCTTAAAGAAATGATAGTGAGGGCATTCTGAGATGAAACCAGTGGCGTGTCCTCATGGCCAGGACCACACCTAGAAAGTGAAACACATGCTTTTCTCTGTCATGTGACCTCTTAAACTCCGGGGTTTCTGACTCAGGTGTGTGATTAATTCTGTACTCGAGCAAAATTCTGGTCCCTGCTCGCTCCCAGCTTGTTTTCTCTGTTCCACAGCACAATACGATTGCTCTTAGTACTGCCGAGCGCAAGCGCTGGCTACCAAGTCAAATAATCTGGGTCTGAGATCAGATATTCAAGAGGATGGGGGATGAGCATTTGGCTTAGTTGCTACAATGCTGGTTAAAATTCCTGCGTCTCATGATACAGTGCTTGCATTGGAGTCTCCCGCTGCTCCTGACTCCAGCCTCCTGCTATTGAAGACCCAGGGAGGCAGCAGTGGCAGTTCAAGTGATTAGGTCCCTGCCATCCCATGTGAGACTTGGCTTGACTTCCCAGCTCCAGGCTTTGGCCTGGCCCTCCCCCAGCCATTGCACACATTTGGGGAGTGAACTAGCAGATGGGGGCTTCTCTCTCTCTTCTCTGTCTCTCTTTCTCTCTCTCTCTCTCTCTCTCTCTCTCTCTCCCCCTCTCTCTTTTGAAAAAATTTCAAGATGAATCTGAATAGACATTGACCAAGCAACTGATTGGCTGCTTTTGGGTCACGTGTCTATCCTTGAATAAGTCATCAGAGGTGTTGGATGCTGCCCATCTGGGAGTATATGAAGCAGGTGGTGACACAGGAGAGGTGCTTTATATCTGTCCAAACGATAGGTGCTGTGGGGCTAGCCTTATTTGGCCCATTGCATTAGGCAGTTATTTTACCATGAGAAGGAAGGACTGGCAATTTGATTTCTGAACACGATCTGCCAGCCTTAAAAAGAAAATAAAGAGAAAAATGAGTTTTCTTCCTAATGGTGAGGCCAACATTGTTTTTTTTTTTTTTTTTTAAGCTAAAATAAGCTTGCAAGCCAAGTTTTTCTACCTGCAAGTTAAACAGGAGGAATCTTGTTTTTGTTTCGAGGGACTCCTTTCATCCCTTAAGAAAAATACTTTGAAAGGTTTGAGGTAATGAGGTTAAGAAATATAGGGGCTTGGCCACTTTTTTTGTAGGGTATCAAGTGGAGCTAAAGGGAGAAGGTGGTAGTTGGTTAGCTGGGGAGGAATCTGAAACGTTAACACTTAGTAGGTTCTATGGCATCTCCAGAATTTTAGTGGCTTCAAACAGAAGGCAGAGTTTGGAGTTTGGATGTCTTAGCAAGCGTTTGTCAGTTGGAAGCATTTTGACATTTGGTAACGGGATCCCTTAGAGAGTGCTTAGTTAGTACCTGCTTATGCTCCTGATCACTGCCACCAGTACACTCAAACAGAAGAAATAATGGAAGAGTTTTCCTTGGCTTCCAATATATGATTTCTGTGTAGATAATTGTGTTGCAAAGAAATAGAGAAGAAATTAATCATATTTGCTTTCAACTTTCTTTGCAATAATCCATCTCCAGATAACACTCTACTATTTATCAAACACTGCTTCATACCTCTGTTCCTCCCAAGGGAGGAAAACAGCTCATGTTCTTATGGCCAAACTGGATCCTGACTGGCTAGATTTGCAGAGGTCATAGCTGTGTCAGCCCTTGGAAGGGAAAGCATTAGCTATTCAAGTATTATCGCTCCAGACCTTCCCCCCATGACCCTACCAACATTCTTTCTGAAGCCAGCACAGAGTGTTCGTTTCAGAAAAGTGAACAATTTGGAAAAGCCAAGTAGACAGGAATTCTACGTCTGCTTCTATCAGAAAGAAAAACATTCCCAGGCCTTCAGTCTTCTACTTCTCTCAGGTGTCTGTCCCCCCAACCCTTTTCCTTCTCATCCAGTGTGGGTGCCTGCAAAGGATAAAAATAAGAACATGTTCATCTCAAAATATAGGAATTAACAAAAACTGTCAACTTGAATGATGTGGGTTTCTTTGAAGCCTCAGAGAGTACATTTGAGTAACCATGCATTTTCCTCTTGTGAATTTAGTTGATCATTCAAACCAGCCCTGTAAATAGACAGCTCTGTCTCTGGCTTGTGTGATGATCTAGATCAAAATACAGTGTTGCAGGAGATCCCCTGTCAGCTGGGTTGACCAGTAGTCAGTATGACTCCACAAGGCAAAAACCTTGCCGGGACCTTGTTCCTCAAACAGAATGGTGGCAGTCTCATTCCTGCAGTGGGAGGTTGAAGGAGTGGTTACCTGAATTGTGTTCATAATCAGTCAGTGAAGATGGTTAGGTAGGAAAGCAGTGTATGAGGTTCCTTTTATTCCGGGACAGTGGTTCTCAAATGATGATTCTTTGCCCATTGGCAACCATCCTAATGGTCCCTACCCAGGACTGTTTGCCTTCCAACAGTTAAAATATGGTGCTGCCTGTAATTTTCCCCAACACAAATTTTTTTAGGTGCTTCTTGGGGATGCTATCAAAAAGGCAGTAAATAAGTCTAACGTGTTTGCCTTTGGATGTTTAATTTTCTTTTCTCATAGTAAGCAGGAAGGCGTAGGGAAGATTTATTTGCATGACCCTTTTAAAACCCAAGTTATCTCTGTCATAAAGAGCTAAGCCACTCTTTGGAGTCAAGACCAAGGGCTTTGGAAGCAGACTGCATGGAGTCCGTTCCTGGCTCCATACTTTGTTCAAATTACTCAGCTTCTCTACCACTTGGCTTCTTGGTTTTCCCATGAGTAAAATTGTGATGGTAACAATTTCTACCTCATAGAGTCGTCATAAAGATTAAATAATACTAAGTGAGTTTAATCCTAGACTAGTGCCTTGTACCAGGAAGTGCTAAAGAGATCATTAGTGGGGCTGGCACTGTAGTGTAGTAGGTTAGCCTCTGCCTGAAGTGCCAGCATCCTATATGGGCACCTGTTTGTGTTCCGGCGGCTCCTCTTCCGATCCAGCTCTATGCTGTGGCTTTGGAAAGCAGTAGAAGATGGCCCAAGTCCTTGGGCACCTGCACCCATATGGGAGACCTGGAAGAAGCTCCTGGCTCCTGACTTCAGATTGGCTCAGCTCCAGCTATAGCAGGCATCTGGGGAGTGCACCAGCGGATGGGATATATCTCTCTATCTATGTATCTATGTATCTACCTATCTATCTATCTATCTATCTATCTATCTATCTATCTATCTCAGTCTCTCCCTCTCTCTGTAACTCTGCCTCTCAAATAAATAATAAATCATTAAAAAACAAAAAGAAAGAAAGATCGTTAGTTGGGTTTTTTGTTGTTGTTGCTGCTGCTGCTGTTCCTAAATAATCACCAAGCCTCTAGGGCAGTAGTGTTCAGTAGAAATAAAGCATGCTGTGTAATTCATTTAAAATTCTCTAGCAGTCACATTTTTAAAAGATTTATTTATTTATTTGAAATTCAGAGTGTGAGAGAGAGAGAGAGAAAGAGAAAGAGAAAGAGAAAGAGAAAGGTATCTTCTGTCTAATAATTTACTTCCCAAATGGTTCCAACAGCCAGGTTGGGCCTGGCTAAGCCAGGCTGAAGCCTGGAACCAGGAATTTCATCCTGGT